CCCAGCATGAGGGGATGCGATGCCACGCTCGCATCCGTTCCGGTGCCAAATGTCACGGTGAAAGTTAAGCCCTAGGAACGGGTCGCATGGTTTAACAGGAAGTTTCCACGCTCTTAATAAGCTGCTCCTTTGAAAAACTGCTGTTACAACAGTATCGTTCGAAAGAAAAACGCCGTGTGCCCGGTCCTTGGCCCATCGGCTCTGCAGCTTCTGCTGTCCGGGGGGTGTTGGCACGGGAACCTCAGCCTGCGGCTCCCGTCACCTCCGTCCCCCCGCGAGACACGGGCATCAAAACGCGGTGGAGGTTTCCCCCCGCTCTTCAGAGCTCTGCGGGGGCCGCCGCAGCCGAGCAGCCTTCCCCGGACGTACCCGTGACGTGGCTTTGCTGGGACAGCGGGCCGCAACGCCAAACCTCCACCGGTTAATTCTTGGCGTTGGTTGGCGTGTTTCACCTCGGAGCTTTGCTGTCTCACCAACGTGGCCAGTTCAGAAATGGGCCTCGTGCTGCGTTCTGGTAGCACCCCGGCAGTACTCGCTGTGTGTAATTGCAGTGTGTATGCTCCGGCGTTTCCATGGCGGGTTGGATGTATAAATAGCTGTCTTCATCCTGCTTAGGCACAGCAGCAAGGGCAGCTCCATGGTAGCGGTTTGTGGGGTGACAGGGAAACGAAAGCCGCTACCCCGTGTTTTGCAGTGCCTCCGTCACCCATACTTGCCTCTGCCCTTCACAGCGCTACGTTTTCCTGCAGTGGTACCCAAGCCTTTTTCTCTTCTGCAGTCACTTGTTTTTTCTTACCGAACTGCAGCGTGCATATCCTCGTTTAAACAGTTCCTTTGTGGTAAATTTAAATTAAAACTGAAAGCAAGAGGCTTGCGCCTGTTTATGTAGCGAACCTGAATGGTATAAAGTACATCATTCCTCTTGACTGGTCCCTGTGTTGCGTGTGTCATCCTTCAGAGGCATCTCAGCAGCACAACACGCACCAACCCGACATTTATTAGGTCATTTCGGAGAGGCTGATACACGAGGTTCTCCTAAAAGCCTGCGTGAAACAGTGTAAAGGAGCGTGTTCAGCTGAAGGGCAGAGAGCTGGCTGCTGCGGAAGAACAAGCTCGGGAGGTTGCCTGAAGCCTCCTTGCCATTAGTTTATTTTTCTGTTGTCCGACGCACACCGTTCTCTACGTGACTTTGTCATTTTCTCTCTGCCTGCTATTCTGACTTTCCTGTGTTTTCCCCAGGCAATTCTTTCAATCTTCAGTTTAGTCGTCATGGTCTCAGAGCACGGTCCAGCCTTCAAGGTCTGACAAGATTAACCCCTCCGTGTCGGCATACCCTTAGTAGCAGCTTTGCTTTTACTTGCGTTTGGACTGAGTTGGCATTTATTGAAAAGGGTTTGTAAGCTTTTAAATTTTAAAACATAAAGAGGTTAAGATCAGTGAATGAATAAAGTCTCTAATTCTACAGCCAGTACGGATGTTCACCTCTTGGCAGGTTTTTCCGACATGCAGCGCTCGGGCCGTAGCTAACGCCCAGATCCGTCTGCGTGAGTGAAATCCGAGTGTATTGATCTGCCCCAGGGACCTCCTGCGTTGTTCAGGTGCGGTGCGATGGGTCTGGCTCTGGCAGGGAGACGGATGCGCCGTTTCAGGGGTAAAACAATTTTTAATGCTGAGAAACCGTCTTGTCTACAAACAATAAAGCGATTTGTAGTAACGAATGGAAAATACTTCTCTTGCTGGAGATTACACCGTTTGTTTTCATTTTCCATGACATGTTTTGCTCATTATGCTGCAGGAAGCAAACCCAAAGTTTTACAAAGAACAGCTCGTGATGGTAAAATCGGGGGTGGAGCTGGGGTCTCGCTGTCATAACGGCAGAGCGCAGCGGCCCCGGGGGAGCACGGCGGGGCTGCTGCGAGTTCTGCGCTTGGGAAGGAGTCGGGGGGACGGGGGATGCTGCTCACCCCATCCACGTTAGTGGGAATCGCTGTGTTGCTTGTGAACTCCCGGAGAGCCGAGCGGACCGTGCCGTGGTGTTCTCTCAGTCCTGTAGAATGCTTTCTGTGTTTCTGGCCATAATGTTAAAACAAGTGACAGCATTAAAGGAGGGCGAGAAATGGGCTTTGCTGAGGCCCTGGGTGTGTGCCCGTGTTCCCCGGGCTGTGTGTGGTGGCTGCTTTTGTTGGCTTGGGGGCTCAGGGTGCTTTGGTTGGTTAATTAACGGACGGCTCAGGCGTCTCTGAAGGGCTGAAGGTAATCTTGGCTTCACTGTGGCATACTTTCAGCATGCCGTTGCTCTGCCTGGAGGGAAAAGGATGCAAACTGAAATCCAGTCTGCTGGTGGTGAATGGTGACAGCCGAGGTGACGTTGGAGACAGCGTAAGGTGTGTGTCTGCCCTTAACGTGGCGGGAAGGGAAGGGAAGGGAAGGTACAGCATTGCCAAGCCAAATCCTGCAGCCGACTTTGCAGCGTGACATGTGGTTGGGAAAACTTGGGGTGGAAGGGATTTTTGGGGCTTGGTGGTTTTGGTTAGTTGAGCTTTTTCCATGTAAGCACTGGCCTCGGCTTAAGGTGTAGGTGAACTTCGTGTTAAGGCTGACGTGGGTCTGTGCCCATTTCATTCTCGGGCCTTTGGAGGTGGTCTCTGGGGCAGCTGGTCTGGGCAGGCTTCAGAGAATCAATCCTATGGCAGGTTTACCCATTTCCTGACCCATTGCTGACATCCTTTACAAGGAGCAGTTTGTTCCAGCTTCTCTTCCCGCTGTCGGGATGCACCAGCACACGCCTGCAACTGCCCAGCTCCTGCACTGGGGTTGGAAGACAAAGACCGACTCTTTTTCCCTGAAGCCCCAAGTGTTCTGCTGTAGTACGTAACTTAAATTCATCAAGGTCACTGAACCCTACTTAATGTGCTTTCTGGGAAGATGACAGGGGACAAAAGATTGTTTTGTACCCTTCTGTCAGAAGGATGAAGTAGGAATACAAGAGCTCAGTTATTTGTGTGCTGAAGGGGCCATGGTTGTCCAGTGATGTGACAGATTCGCTAATGATACCTGACAGAAGTATTGCAAAGGAATAATTGTAAAAGAAAACCTCTTCTATCAGGCAGTGTTTTTA